ATAATTATGTTTTTACAATATTAAGTTCCTATAATAGTGTTAAAAGCATAACTTAATTAACTAAGGTAAATAATGTTAAAACCAAAAACTTTTCAATGTAAAAAGACAAAAACAAAAAAACAAAAAAACAAAGCAGATTAAAAGAAATTATTAATAAGATTTGTATACTTTGAAATATTCTTTTTTATTAGTTTTCGAAAGTAATTTATATTGTTTACACCTGGTAAATTACTATATTTTGCTAAGATTTTATTCCAGATATGCGGAGCACGATACGTAATTTTAAATTATTCTTGTTTAGTTTTGCACAATGGTTCAATTAAGCCTGTTGTGCGTAAAGTATATTTAATGTTAGGTTTTATTCATAAAGATCACTAAAAATTGAGGGACATTGTTAAAATTTACTTTTGTACATGAGACATAAAATTTTATAAACATTTATCTCGTTTAACGTAAAAATTTCGAACAGTGGTTTTGCATGTTCGTTTTTATTTTGAGAATTTATTATTCTTAAGGCATGTTTTTGTTTTCGATAGAGTGTTTCAAGTTTGCTTTTAGATGTACTACACCACGCAATATTCGCGCAATTCAAGTAACTTTGTATAAAACTGAAATAGATTTGTTTTAGATGATGCTTATTAAGTAAATCCCGTGACTGATATAGAACGCCAATACTTTTTGATATTTTGCTGCCAAGGTGTAAACAATATAAATTGCCGCAAGTTTAGGTCCTATATTCACAAAAAAATTGTTAAATTCATTTGCTATATTGTTTTTATTGGCAATAGTTTTATTTTTAATATGTAAGATTTTTGGAAAGAAAGATTTATTGATTTTCGGTTTTCCAATTATTTCATTTAGTACTTGCCAAGTTTTCCTAGAATTTAATTGACACTTTTCAATTTGCTTTTTATAATAGTTTGATTTTGCAGTTCGTTTGATTTTCTCAAATAAAGTCCTGTAGTTTTTATATTCTGCCTTGGTCTTTATGCACTTATTTTTTAAATATCTATCGTGCAGTCGATGTTTTTATTTCGAATCTTTTTTTAAACCTTTACTAAACCATGGCGAATTTAAGTTTTTAATTTTAATTGTTACTTCTTTCTCTGGGAAGTGTTTTTCATACAAGTTTAAAAAATTGTGATGGAAGTTATTAAACATGGAACTAGCATCATTGAATGATTCTAATGGAGACCAGTCTATATTACCCAGAGATTTCAAGGATGAAATAGTCCGTAAAATGCTAGAGTAGGCGATTTAAATTTTCAATTATACTGTAAAAATACCAAGATCGATCTCAAGATTCCGAGTCATCTCAAGATCGTTGTTTTTTTTTCAATAATAAAAATATAACAAAAATTTTCAAATTTAATTCAATAATCTCATGATTAGGGGATGAGGGGTGTAAATTTTGCACCGTCATAATTTCAGAACACTAAGAGAATAATAAATAAAATTTAAAATCTGTTGATAAATATGATTTTGGTTTATGAATGCCTTAAAAAAAAACAATTTTAACCCATTGCCCTCATATTTGGGGCTGAAGGAGAGGGCTAACGTTTTAGGGTTTATGTCGTTCCCAGTCTCTAATCACCGCAATTTTTTTTATAACTTCCTTATTCCCTATATATATAAACATACTCAATAATGCTTAGCTCAAAGAACTAAAAATTTTGTCTACGGTCTTTCACCACGCTTAATATAATTTAATATACTTTTACTGATATGCTTTAGAAAACAAATTTTTAACTTCAAGTTTCCATGCGATAGTGGTAGAGCGCTAGCCTAGTAAACAAAAGGTTCCGAGGTCGGTTACTGTGCTCAACTTGCTTTTTGCGCATTACCTTCTCTTAATTAATACCCCTCTAAAAATTACATATTATATTAAACAGCCCAGAAAAAATTAGTTGCTAACCTTTTTGTGACAAGTGACCTACATTGTGGTTTGTTAAATCAGTTCCTAAATGACGAATCAACTGCATATTGATTCATTCACACTTTTGAATATTTCCGAAACTTCTATTGCGATTGGGGAAAAATTTAAATATGTTTTTGAAATGAAAATGATTCTTTAAGTTGATGCTTCGTTTAAGCATTGATTTAAGAATGCATTAAGAAAAGATTTTACGCAGCTTTAAACGGTTTGTTAATTGCACTTATTGATCACTTAAATGTCAATTATAAAAAAAAACTAAAAAAAATAGATTATGATGATATAAATGAGATAATTTTAATTTTCCTTATAATAGTGATAGAGATAACGGTATTAATCATGGTGCCTCTTGAAAACCTGAAAGATTTACAAGAAGCACTAATTTTAGAATGCAATAACCAAGAATTGCTACCCTTTTTTGAAGACTTACTAGCTCAAATGGATCTTCAATAAAAATGTATCTAAAAATTAAAGTTTTTCCAATGATACATTTGCATGAGTAGCAAGCAGATACGGACTTGAATATAAAATCTTCGACTGAAAAGAAAATTTATAAGAAATTATCAA